AGCGGTACTGATATTTATAAACAGTCACAAAATTAAGAACAATCTTTATCCCTCCCCCTTCTAGCAACTTTTAGCGTTTCTTTTTATGAGACTTTTCATTCAGTCTCTCATCTGAAATTGAATGATCGCTAGAAACTAGAACCTTGAACTGAGGCATGAGTAGGGTAACACACAACGAGCAGGCAGATTGAAACATCGCTTACAGAGGGGAATGCGAGAAGGGAAAAGCTCGGAGAAAACTTGGAAAGTAAAATAACGGAAGAGACAGTTGGACTTTTTGGATGAGTTAGTTGAGGAATTTTGTAATAGTACCGATGTTCTATGATAATATCACAACTTTCTATAATAAAAAAACAAAAAGTGTGATATATTTGTACTGTCTCAGATAGACACTAGAACTTGTTCACGAATGAAGCATATCTGAGAAAGAGACACGCCCGCGATAACTATCCAACTGAGAATATTTGTTTCAAGTACTTTCCATAAAAGTACGGGACAGACATGCACTGTAATATGATTAAAGCAAGGTTTCAAAAAACCTGATCAAATTGGTGAAGGTTCAATGGACTTATAACCTTTTGAGTTGTAGTCATTGAGTCACACGCACACATATGTGAATTCGTGGATAGTCGTGATATGTCATGAGTCATACTCATGCACATGCAACGTGATGAAACATTTGAATTTTTTTTTTCGAAAACCTAGTCGAACTATTAAGGTGGTACAAAGTTTCTTCCTTACTCAGACTCCTGCGTCGTACATCATCGTTTCAAGCTATAATAATGATTGTTGCACTGCTGATTAGCTCGGAAAGTGAAGAATGTCCTATTGGCTAAATGAAACTTCCAGAAGGGAACAGAATTGAGCTTCAACACGAAAACTAACCTTCATCATATAATCATATACTAGATGAAGAGAAAGTACAGTTGATGGAGGAGTATTTCCTTATGAATACTTCATCGGAGGAAGTAGACAGCTGGATTGTAAAATAGAATGAGGAACAAAGCATTAAAACAAGTGGAATTACGTGTTATGAGCTAACCATCAAACTTTCATAGATTGAAGACCTTCACGTGCTGATTGAAAAAACATCTCGAAGTTCGAAGTCGTTTCATCATTTTGTATTCTGAAATCAAAAGATACAAATTAATGTTTTGATATATTTGCAGCTCTCACCTCAAGATGTCTAAAGGATATACTCAGTTCTGGGTTGTTTACTACGAGAAGGTTCATTGCACCATATATGAAGGAAGGGAAATGACAATGGATAGCTCTATCAAGACGAACGTCATTGGCTGATCATTGGAGCATTGTTCAATCACAGTCCTCCAACATCTCTCTTTGAACGTTTGCATCGAATATTCAATTTTGGTATTGAATTTCCCAATACCTGGCCATCTAATTTCCTCCTTACTTTGAAAAGAGAAAAAAAAAGAAAAAAAAATAGATTTTTGAAGGCTTGGACTATCGCGTCCAACAAAAAGGCTGATTGGCCTGTTTTTTTGCTGGAAGAGAAATATGAAATTGAGATCATTGGAACTTGTGTGATCGGAAGTGTTCTCTTCTCATCTGAATACTGAAAGTTATCATCAGAATTCGAAATGTTTTCCTGTTTCAACTGTTATTCTCTAATGATCTTTCTATTATAGGAATAGAACTCATTTGGTTGAGCCAATAAACGTTTCTTTACGAGTTGTCGTTTTAACCAGCTTCTTATGTTACTCTCGAATATCATTCAATGAGATTCTATTTAGTTGCTTAACTTCATTACCCTGCGAAAACTTCATTTACTTTCACGGAAGTGATGACTGCCACAGGAATACCTTTGCTCCCATTATTTTGTGCAAATCAGAGTGAGTGACGCTGGAAGTAACAACCATCCCAGAATATACTTTTGTGAAAATTTTTTTTCCGAGAAAATGAATGGTTTTGCATCCATTTCCATTTGTATCAATCACAAAACAATTCTTCGCGACAACCATATGTCAAAACACAGAAATATGATTTTCTTTGTATGAAGCGGCTGAGGACATCAAGCTCAGCCTTTTTTTTCCTTTCTCTTATGCTTTTTTCGTTTTTTTCGCGACTGTCTTGCTAATTGCTCTCTCATACAGCTTTCCTCAATGTTATTTGAACGATGTGCTCACCTTCACTAACACCTACATATCACCATTATAATTTCGTAGCTTGATCGTAGAACAACGAAAGAAGTCATTAACATACATGAACGTCTCTCACGTGTACTATTAGATGTGAGAATATTGTGTTCAAGTTCCTTCACATATTGATGAACGGTAACTCATTCCCAACTAACCACGGGTTTAAAATTTTCATCCTCTTCTTCTCTCTATCTCTCTATATTTCCTTCTCTATCAATCTATCTTTCCGTGTGCTTTTCTATTTTGCAATTAGTCTTCTCAACTTTCAGAATAGAATTTCCATGCTTCAACGGCTCATCGACATCAAATAACAAGGATCATTGTAGATCTGACCATGAACTCCTCCATTATAGATATGCTGGCATTCATGATAACCAACGTGCTTATCTGTATATTCCAAACGACTACAATACTTCTTGGAACTTTCGTGATCTATCTCTTCTCCAGGTTTCTTCTGCTTATATTTTCATCAATCATTTGTATTTCCAGAAATATTGTATTGAGAAATAGTGGAGGGCTTCAATTGATATTCTTATTAACCATATGTGACGTGTTCGCAGCTATCACAAGTGAGTCAACTTTCAAAAATTTTTATTTTTTATGTCAACCTAATCACCCTGTTACAGCAATTCCTTATATTGTTTACCTGATAGTGGGATGGAAGCCGAGAGAAACATATTATGATCCTAAAACGATTGTTTACATATCTCTGACTTTTGTTGCTCAGCTCAAGATTCATTTGACGTTCACACTCTCCATTGCCATTGATAGATCTCTTGTTTGTTCCCACCAACTTAATACTTATCTCATCCACTTTTTTCCAGGCAGTATATCAACCAGCCTTATATCGTAGGAAAAATTCAAAAGTATATGCCATGGGCACATTATGCGTTGCCATACTATTCGCCTTGTTTGATATATCTCTAGAACTGTTAATAGCTGATTATGATGAGATTCCCAATTGCGCAGCTATAGGTTGCTTCTTGGACTCTCCATTTCTAGAGTATTGGGGTATAAGCAATGTGGTAATACATCATCGCTCCTTTCGGTCTGTAAATGTCTTTTTGCCAGGTGCTAGGTAGTTGCAAACTATTGTTAACTCTCTCCGTTCTCGTCAAACTTCATCGAATGCATAAATCACAATCCAATGTTGCTTGGGTTACAACTGGTGTTTCAGAAAAGAGATTCCATCAAGTAAAATTTCAAATTGTTCTACAAGTTTACCTGTTGCTCTCTTCAGGCAAACAAGTTATCGTTAATGGTAATGGTAGTCTCTGCTTGCTTCATAACAATCCCATCAATATCCGTCGGCATATCAGAGATTTTCGGATTTTCTTTGTTTTCTAGTGTTGGACCGTTTTATCTCCTCTTTCTCCTTATAGCAGGTTTATCTTGAGTAAAGAAGAGTATTAAAGACTTATCAATCGTTTCTAGCAACTTTCAACATTAGCATCTACTTGTCCCTTCACAAGGATGTCAGACGATGTATGACAGCAGTTTGGACACACCAAGAAACTGTTTCCGCATTGACTTCAACGAGCTAACTCAATAAAGACTCAAAGATTATTAAATCATGATGTCATTTATACTTAAAAGGATCGTTTTGAGATATAAAGGGGAAAGAAGAAAAAACAAAAAACGACCAGCTGGTGCATGGAAGAGAGAGAGAGAGAGAGAGATGTGGCTGCCATAACTGAATGGTCAAAAGCCAAGGACATGCGAATTCTTAACAACAAACTGTCCGTTTCATCAATATTTGGTCGAACAGCGCTTGTAAGACAACAGATGGCCGTTGTCGGCAGAAAACCTTAACTCTCCCTCCTTTTATGGATTCATATACGTATGTGTTTTGGAAAAAAGGACGAAAGGACGAAGTTTGATAATTCCTATTTGAACAGTTGCCATTCGTAAATGTTATCATCTCTATTTGATTTTTTATTAATTAATAACATATAATTATATTATTAATACTATTTGGTACGGCTGTGTGACAAGATGAAGAATGACCTCTCGATTTGACTAATGAATTGCTCTTCATTTCATTCATTTATAGCTTTGTCTTTCCACAGTTGTGCCGTCTGTCTTAAAGAAGGGAGGTCGCTCTCTTCCTTCTGTTCCTTTTTTAAAACTCGATCTCTTATTCTCTCTTTAAGTACTACTCCTCCCTCTCTATCTTTCCTCATACTCTGCCAAACAGTTCTGCATGATGTTTTCCCATTCACTCAGCCCAGCTATCTATCTGCAGTCTATCCACTCACACACTTCTCAAAATTTTATTTTTTTTCGCCTTCTCCTCTCAAATAAGGTTTTTTTAAAAACATTAAGAAGGATGTAATGAAGGGATTATGACGTGACATGTGTGTCTCTTTGATATCCAATTATGGCTCGTTATTCTCGCCAGGTGATCGAGACAATCCGTCATCTGTTGCTTGTCTCATAGTTTTTTCTCTGTTCCGAGCTTTTTTCTCACAAAATCGCTGCAAAAGTCAGCAAAAACTTTCCATTTTAGGCTTTTTCATTCTATATAAATGCCCTCATTGTATCCTAGCACTTCTGTGACGAAAGCTCAAAAATTTCAGTTGAATATCGGTTGTGACAGGTTTAAAAATGAAAAGAAAAACGGGTGGGGGAGGTGAAGGTGGGAATGTGCGCTGGGTTGAAGAGAGAGAGAGAGAGAGAGAAGGGAGAACTGACCTTCGTAACGATTAAGCTCAAAAAAAGGTGTGAAATATTCGTTTCAGATGGAAGTGTTCGACCACCGAAACTTCTCTCATACACACACATTCTGTTTGTCTATTTCCATACTTGGGGGTCATATGTTCATTGAATTCTGAGTGGAGTTTTTGAATGAGCGTCGCCCTTTTTTATTTTCTTCTCTCAAAAATCAAATAATTTCAGAAAAATTCTTCCCCTCTCAAGATTGTTGTTGATGTTTTTGTGAGATTTCAAACGATTTTCATTTAAAACATCATCAGAGGAAGGAAACGAAGAGGTTTCCTCCATCTCTCCTTACCCCCACACCTTCAGAGAGATTCTCTCTCTCTGTAGCCTTGCAACACTCTATTCAAGTGTTTTTCATTTAGTTTTCTAGTAATCTATATATTTTCTATTACAGTTTCTCCTTTAAAAGATATTGAAACGAACAAGTTTGTTCTCCGGAAGACGAAGATGATGAAACCAGCCGGCTTCAATAGGATTGTGCTGTTCCTCAGTAACCAATCTATAATCCAGCTTAAGAGAGAATAATAGATGAAAAGTATAAGAGAGAGAAGAGAGAAACAGAATTTTTGAGAAGAAAACAGATTTTAGTATTTGTGCTGATTATCATTCCGTATCATACCTCACATAGTATATATCAATAGTAATCATTCACTCCTTGCAGTTCCTTTGACTGCTTGCTATATGCTACATGAACGGAACACATGTTCAAATCATTCCCTCTTTTTTCGTGGTCAACCCCGTCTTCATTCCTTCACTGCATTGATGCTTTCATTGGCTCTCGGTTTCTGTTGAATGGTTGACCGAAATTAGCCGGTAGTTATAACTTTCCAGTTTCAAGAGTGAAACATTCGTTAACAGCATGAAAAACATTTTCAACTTCTTTTCTCAAATCAAACTTTATCACGCATTTCACGTGACTCTCCTCGTTACTTATTCTATCTATTCCCTCGTCTCACCTCTACGCTAGAATCATTTCCAACGAATCGGCGACGAAGAGCGGTTGTGTTCATTGTAGAATTTGTTTAGTTAAAATCTTAAGAGAGAAAGTTTTTGTTAAAAATGTGAAAAAGTATGAAGAGATTGAGAGGGAGGAAGAGAAAGAAGTAATGTAGTTCAGTTCGGAAAAAAAGGTTTGTACATGTGGCAGTAGCTGGCTGTAGAAGCAACCAGATGTCTGTACAAATAAAGAGAAAGAGAGAGAGAGAAACAAAGAAGTAAAGAGGGAGAGAGAGAGAGAGAATGACCTGGTATTTGTGATCTAAAATAGGAAAATGAAGCAGGTAGATAATAAGATCTTTATTCATATTTACTTTCTTCTTCTTCTTCTTCTCCCCTTCAATCACTTACTTCTAGAAGTTGAAGGTTCTTATTCCCCTTTCCACAAAACGCATCTCCTCTGTTGACACTCACTCAGTCTGGCAAAGTCAGAAAGTTTGAGAATTTTTTGCAAACAGTACTCTGTGTGTGTAAGTATGTGTGGTAAGTCTATCTGAACACATTGATTTTATTATTTTGAGCTTTGTAAGCTTTTGCTACGTTTTCAAAACAGAGATTGCCCATAAACTGAGCGAGTGAGTTTATGAAGATCATCGATTGAATCAGCTTGTCTCCTTGTTTTTCTCGTTCGTTACCTTCCTTAGTCTCATCCTCTTTCTCTCACTTCATCTCTCCCTCTCTCAATCTCTCCAGACATCCACAATATGTGACGAGAAAGTTTTTTTTGCAACAAATAAAATACAAATCTCACCCGTTCCCTAGCTTTGGACTTGAATAACACGTGTAAATCCATTGTTCCGCGAGGACATTTATCTGTGGCGAAGATCATTTTGTTTCCAAACACTCACCTCATCTTCTCTTCAAAAGCTCTCTTTGTGTATGTACATGTAGATGATGAAGATAAAAATCTTTTTGAATATTCCCTTCTTATCATAACTTTCAAAACAAAATGCCAAGAACTGGATATTAAACTGGCAAATCGTTCCATATAATCGATCTCTCAGCTTTTAAAAAAAGCTTAAATAAGCTTTATGTCCATTGTACAGCTGGTTCTTTTGATTTCATTCCTTTTCAGATATCTTATCCGATTTTCCTTAACAATCCATCAGAACAGTCTTTTCATGATTCCGTCAACTGTCTGATAGTTTGTCAACAACTTCTTCATCTTCATCTCGGGGTGAAATCTTTGTGAACTTTCTCCAGCTCTCTCTTTCGTCATCATCACCGAGATTCCATCTTTCTCTCTCTCTCTCTCTCTTTATCCTTTCCCTCTCTATCTCTTCTCCCTCACCTTTACAACGTTATGAAATCAATGATTTATATCCAAATTTTATTTGATTTTTGAGTTATTCACTCGTTCAGTTTCGTTTTTTCTTCCACATTAACTTGAAAAACATGTTTCTTTCTTTTACCTGTTGTTATTCCTTCTCTTCTTCTTTCTCTTTCGCACTCAGCAACTCATCTCTCTTCTCCCTCCTTTTCTCTCTCTCTCTCTTTCTCTCTTTCCCTCTTTCTTTCATCTTCGACCAGACACACCTCATTCCCTCTATACATCTCCTCTTAGATAGTTATCTCTTCCTCTCTCACCTTTTATATCTATATATAGTTAATTTTACTTACTTATATCATATACTTCACCACAACTATTCATTTTTTGTCCCACTTTCTTTCCGCGAGACAACTAAACAAAACTGCCAGAGAATTCGAGCGCATTTTCGATTTTCGAGGACGTTACCCAGCACCATCCCCTCCTGCCCCTTCAGCTACCCTCCCCCATCCTCCCACTCTCGTCCCTTTCATCGCTTCTCATCCACTTTTTTTATTTTCTTTTGCGATTATTGAAAAAATTAAAAAATTCTTTATTTCAGTATCTCTCTTTTTCTCTCTCTCTCTCTATTCTTTTTCATCGAATATTTATGGTAAATGTCAGATGATCATCATCAATCTACTCAACTCTCTCTCTTCCCCCCTCCCCTCCACCCCTCTCTTTCACCACTCTTTCATTCTCCTCGACCCCTCTTAACAACTATTTTCACATAGTTCTATCGTTTTATCAGTGAAGTTCTTCAAACTTTTTGTTATATTATCATGTGATTGTTCCGTTAACAATGACGTCCAAGCTTTTTCTCTCTGAAACCTTTTTTTCGTTTCTTTACTTTATCTCTCTCTCTGCCCCTTCATCTTCCCTTCATCTTCTGTTCCTTTCTCTCTCTCTCTATGTGTTCTTCCAATCGTTGCTTTCCGTTTCTAAATATCCAATTTCATGCTCTATTCCATTGTGCAAAACGGAAAAAAAAGAATAGAAGATTATGAGAAGAGAAGGTATTGGCAGGTAATGAAGGCTCACCAAGCCTGTCTCAAACCTATTGGATCGAACATCTCATAGACTATTCCAATGAAATGTTTTCCATCTATGACCATATTTGAATGTTATGGTTGAGGATGTTTTAATCCGTTTCATGATTCATACCTTCTTTGGTATGATCATCGAACAAACATCCAACCAAACTTTGTATGTATGATACTTGTTGCGAAGCATTAACATAACTTAACTATACATTATCATATAGTCGATAAGAAGAATGAATAGATAAAGCATGAGAATGGGTTGAAGAGATGCATTAGTGATGATCAGCTGTTCTCTTTTCTTTCTATTTATGACAATGGCTTTATAAGGACGACGACAAGCTGGTTTCATGTACACACACACACACACACATACACATCACATCACATCAAAAGCCTTTTCTTATGCTTTTTCTTTTTTATCTTAACTATATGCATATAATTAGTTCGGCTATCAAGGAACTTCCCTTCATATATGACCTTGATCAACATTTTTTTAATCTTTTCCACATAATTTTATGTTTTCCCTTCCTAAGCCACTTCCTTCTCACATCATCCATCCCCAACTTGTGTGATTGTTTGATTTATCTGATCTTTTGATTCTCTCTTCCAGCATATTCCAGCCTCTTCCAGCATTCTTCTTCAATTTTTCATCTTTATTTTAAAGTTAGTAACAACCGCTCTCTGCAAATGAAGAATCAAAAATGAAAATCATCTTGTACTTGAGTCATGCAAATTACACGTGACTCACGTACTTTCTCTCATTTCTCGCCTCCCATCAACTTGAGCACATTTGAACTTTCAATAAAAACAACAAATGAAGACGAATCGTAAATAACTCTTCACAAAAGTTCGTTTTGACATTATTTGGAACAAGTTCAAACTGAAAGTTGACTGCAGAGACGCTTAGATGGACAGTAAAAAGAGACAGTCAATTAAAAAACGATGACATACGGATTGTATGACTTTGACAAGTGAATAGGAAAATTTGTGGAACAAGGGGGAATGCGGGAATTACAAGAGAGAAAGAGAGATAGAGAGAGAAAACAAGAGAGAGAGAAAGAGAGAAAGAATAGAGAGGGGAATAGTTAACTAATCGCTCTAACTTCCATTTTCGTCATGTTGTCAAACGATCACTGTTCAAATTAGTTCAATCCCGATGATTCTTAAGAGAGAAGAAGAGAGATGATTAAAGAGTAAGAGAATGCAGACAGAGAGAAAGCAAAGGAAGAGAGAGAGACTGTACGTCTTTTGAATACAGGAAGAACCCAGAGAAACAGAAAGACATTCATCTTTCAGAGAGAACATCTTCTCATTTAAATATTCTCACTCCCTCTCAATGTATTCTTTCTCTTCATTCCATTTTTTTTGCTGTTGCGAGAAACTTTGCCACATGCAAGTTGTTCCTAAAAAGGGATACAGTAAATGCATTGAATACCAAATGATCTGTAATTTGATTATAATCAAAGTTCTTCTGATGACAGTCTTCATGCCAACTAATTCCCAATGTCTAATCATTCGTTAACAATCAATTCATTTCTCATTTATCTTTCCATTTTCTCTTTTTATGCTAATTTCTCTCTTTTTTCCATCTTGACTTTCCCTCTCCTCTCCCAACACATATTTTCCGGATCACATTCATTGAAATTTCATTTTTGTCTACTTGACCTGAATGTACATTCATACCTTGTTTGTAATCTTCCAAAATATGGAATTTTAATCATATTTCCTCTACTCTCCCCCCTTTCTCTCTCACTCTCTCTAAATTCATTGCTTCCCATTACTCTCTTAGTCCTCTCAATCAACATTGTTTGACAGATCATTCTCTCTCTCTATCATTCCCTCATATTCGTTTTTATTTTCATCCAAAAAACTCTTTTACTCTTCCCTCGTAAACTTTTTGTTTTGCTTATCCTCTATGAGATTTCTGTTTCTTCATCCATTAAACCAATTCGTTCCTTTCTTTCCTCCCTTTTATGAAGCAATCAAGCAGCCATTGCCTATCACATAACTTTTAATTATTTTTCATAACAACTCTCTCTATCTCTTTCTCCCTCTATCTCTCTATCTCTCCCTCTATCCAGAATTCTGATTTTTCATTTTAACAAAGGAGGGGGTCCATAGGAGTCCTCCTCCCCCTCCTCTTGCCTACCTCCACCTTCTGCTTCCTCATCGCATATCTTATTCACATACATTTCAATATTTTTATTTGTCATTTGCTTGTCAACTTTCGCTCTTCTTTTATTCGAAGGAATTTTTTTATGATAAAACCATGTTCTTGTCGTTTCAGAGAATGCCAGATTCACCACCACCCACGTACTCCCCACCTCGACCTCCACCTCCTTACGAAGAACAAAATAAAAATACTCCAAAGGTCTGTTTTCTAATTAATAATATTATTCTTTGACATATACTCTGTAGGAAGGAAACACTTATAAAATCTCTCCTCCACCCTTTGTTCCACTGTCTGGCACATCTTCGAGTCCCATGAATGTGGACGCTAGTACATTACATACGGTAACACTTATCCAACTAAGTTTTGTCAGCTTAGTTGTTTTCAAATTCAGATCCCGATTAACGGTCCTCCACGAACTATAGTGATTGTACAAGAAGTGAAAGAAGCTCCATCATTCTCGCCGTATATGGCATTCTGTCCCAAATGCTCAGTAAGTTTTGCTTTTCGGAATTCCATGAGGTCGACGTGTATGCTCTCCACGTGATTCATGCAAATCTGTACGTGACATCTACGTGGCTTACGTGACTTTGCAAATCGTTTTGGTTCTGTCAACAACTCCATTTCACTTTCTCATACACGACGAGCGAACTCATTTGCATCCCTTCAATTCAATATTCAAATATTTGTAATAAAATTATTATTTTCAGCAAAATGTGACGACAAAGCAAACATTTGTTTCCGGAAGTTTAACATGGATTTGTTTTCTTTTCGTACTCTTCTTCTTCTTCCCATTAGCCTTTGTACCATTCTGTTTGGATTCATGTAAAGACGTTCAGCATTATTGTCCCAAATGTGCCTCACTCTTATCAATCAAAAAACGTTTCTTGTAAATATCTAATCAACAATCATTTCATTTTCTATGAAAAAAGCAGGTTCTTTGAAGAAAACATTCATATGGTTATGTAAATTATGTGTGCAATCAGTCACTTATTTATCTTTTTGTTTTACAAAAGTTTCTTTGATCTTTCTCTCTCTCATCACATGTCTCTCTCTCTCTCTCTCTTTGTATATCCTTCTTATCAACCTTATGAGAAACTTAGGAACTTTTTGTTTTACGAGATGATGAAGCTTCCTCCCCTCCCCACACTGTATACCATCTCTTTGAATTTCTTCAAATGATGAAAAACAACAACAAAAGGCTTATATTAGGTCATATTGAAGCTTAAGACCTACGGGTCTTATCTATTCAGCTTTTATTTCTTCAAAATATTAAATTACTTGTATTATGTACTGTCAACGTTATTTTGCCATTATATGTTCAAAATAAAAAATATAAAAATAAGAAAAATGCAGTTGAATTTGAGATAATGTTCGAGGAATTACATCCATTCCAGCCATAAACTGATATGTAGTGATTGAAGTACCATAAATGCTCTTTCATCGCCTCAAGACCAATTATTGAAAATTACGGTAAATAAGGTGTTTGCTTACCTTAGCACCATACGACCAGAATTTCTTGCGGTCACTGCAGTTTTCATCTTCGCCCCAAGTTGTATTACAGATAGTATATGAAGTGAATTTGTTGTCATACCTAATATGGACAAATCAAAACATGATAAACAATGTTCAATTACCATATTTCACGTGTATGATGAAATGGATAACCTGTTAAGGTAATGTTAAGCTCATCAAGCGGTGGCAAGTGAGGAACTGGATCGGTGTAATGAACTATCCGGAATGAATACGGCACGTATTGCTTAAGAGAGTATTGGTTTTGAGTTTCATGGATTCAATTACTTGAAAGATCTGGGCATATTCATAATCTCCTTCACGAGGTTCACCGAAGGTAATCAAACGAATGTCATACTGAACAAGAAGGTTAGGGTTGAAGAGAGCAATGAATCTTACTGGATTTTCAACCACTTTGCGATATGACAGACGAAAAGCGGCTAAAGCTGCCATCGCTCCTCCTAATGAATGACCTGTGACGATAAAAGTGTAATTTGGATATCTTAAAAAGGGTGATTCAGAGAGAGAGAGAGAGATTGTGAGTATGAGAGAAAGATTTATGAAGTGAAACTAACAGTGGAAGAAGTGGTTCAACCATCACATCCCACATTACATTCATGGCTGTCAAAAAATACTTATTAACTCTGCCTATCTGACCGACATTGCCTTTGTCATCTAGGATGTATAATGTGTAAGACAACGAAGAGAAGGAACAGCTTACCGGTTTCATTATAATAAGGATAATCCCGTAAACTATGAGTCATCTCTTGATATAACTGACTTGTACCATCTGTACCTCGGAATGATAATATAATCCGACGAGTCTTGTTGGAAACGGAACTGAATGCTTGGCAACTATTATTTCTCTGAAACAATCAATTGCTGATTGGGGGAGAAGCCGAAAGTATACTCTATTCCATACGTTTATCGAAAATTTCTATGATCTCACCTTATCACACGGTGTTGTTATAGCAGCAAATACGGCAAAGGTGTCGTCGGGAAAAGTTTTTTTGACACATTCTTCTCTCATATCAGAAGCATTGTTGGCTGGATAAGCTGCTGCAGCCAAGTTGAGGAACAACTTAGCTTCTTCCTCGTTATAGTTTACGTAAGCTGTGCTGGATATGATCAAGAGTAGGAATATAATAGGAAGACGATGCGATAGAAACATTGGATGCCTCCACCTAGGTCGTCTCCCCTTCTCGAACGAATGATGAGATTTTTGTGGTTAAAATAGTAAACGAAGTTTTACTGTTGGAAGTATCGAATGCATTTTGACATCCTTTTCACTCTCCTCCTCCTTTTCAGTCGCTCCCACACTCTCTTAATCTATAAATTTCTTATCAATCTGATTCATATGCGGTACTCGCACATCTTTATGTCCTTTAGAGATTGAAAGTCGTTTCAATTCATTCTTTTATTTCAATAAATTTAAATAATTTTTATCACATCACCGGCTTTTGTTGATAATTTCACGCAAGCCAAATGATCTGCTCGTGTTGCTCCAATATTTATAATCAATACCGGCTTATTTTGAAGATGAGCATGGTAGGCGAAGCGATAGCCAGACATTACTGATAAGGAAGATCCAAGAACAAGCAAACCATCACACTCATCCATCTAGAACCGATCACATATCTTCAGACACATCGTCCCTCATGCACTCACTTTTCCGTAAAGAAAGTCGACAGTCTGTCTAGGCACATTATCTCCGAAGAAAACTACATCTGTTTTTACAATACCACCACATTCAGCACAGTTTGGAACAATAAAGTCCTAAAATGTTCAAAACTTCTTGTTTGACGTCAGTGCATAACAATGGAAACTTCATCTGAGCCTGGTGTTATGAATACGTCGCCATCCGGTGCCAGCTCGCCCACCGTATGTCTCTCAAACCATCCAGGGTTATGATCAGCTATTACTTCTTGGAAATCATGTCTAGTGAATATATAGTGTCAGCTTTCCCTGTTCATATTACCGACTAGTTACAGTCCCACAACCCATACAACGAACTCGATGTCCACTACCATGCAGCTCAGTCAGCTTCTGAGAGCCTGCTCTGACACAAAGAACATCATTACACTCTATTAATATTCTACAAACTTTGTATGTAATCCATCAACATTCTGTGTGATAAGCCATAAAAGCCTTTCATCACCTTCCCAATTTGCAATTGAATAATGAATTTTATTACATTCAGCAGATGAAAAACGAGGCCAAGCCAAGTAATTTCGAGCCCAATACCTTCAATTGTAATTATGAAAACTGGAGAAGAAGGCAAAACGCCTTGGTTTCAGACTGAAAAAAGTTGGAAACAATAACCTTCGTCTATTGTGTTCGTGTTTCATGAAATCCTGATGGGTTGTTGGCCGATGATTTGATCTTTCATATAGACCAACTTCCTCTGATCTATAATCCGGAATTCCTTAAGCAGTTTACTAAGTTCCTTGAACTGTTGGCTCACAACTCACCGGACTCCGTTGAAATGCCGGCTCCGGTTAATACAACTAATTTCTCAATATTCCCTAACTCATTTTGAAACTTTTTCAATAAAATGGGGTCTACAGCTTTGAACTTGGGTACAAACTTGGTTAAAATACTCATTAAAAGAATTATATGAAAGATAAGTGCTGTTTCACAACTTCAGCGAAGGCGAGCGGTTGCCGACCGCGACGCGTCAATTGGGTCAGTTCTCAGTGAACTTCCATCATTATTTGAAATCATATTGGAAAAGACGGTTAAGCATACATCTAATACTGGGCTACACTTTCAATATTTCTTTTAGAACTTAAACAGAAGAATTGAATTGTTAATAACATTTCGGGGTTTGGAGGCAAATCGAATGGTTGGTATTAAGCGTGCTCCACGTCGGTTTTCATATTTAGCCGAAATTTCCAGGAGTGCGGTTGTTCATGAAAATGGAAAAGTTCGATGTTGATACAATGTTATCGAATTTGATGGCTGTAGGAATGTGCAAAGGAAGATTAACTAAAGCGGTAGGAATATATAGAAGTAGAGGGAAGATAAAGATGTTTCAAGATTTCTGAAGAGGAACTTATCAAGCTGACAGTAGCAGCCAAAGCAGTATTCATGTCTCAGCCCATCTTGTTGGAAGTTGATGCTCCGATTGTTCTTTGTGGAGATATTCATGGACAGGTTTATTTCTTTACACTTCAAAGTAACTTCATTATTTAAGTATTCCGATTTATTAAGAATTTTTGACAAGAATGGTTTTCCTCCGGAGCAGAACTACATGTTTCTCGGCGATTACGTGGACCGCGGAAGACAGAACATAGAAACCATTTGCTTATTGTTTTGTCTCAAAATCAAGTAGGACCTTCATTCGTTATCATATTTATGAAATATGATTGACCTAGTGTATTTCGTAATCGTTTTTAAGATATCCAAACAATTTTTTTCTTCTTCGTGGCAACCATGAGTCAGCCGCTGTTAATAGAGTTTATGGCTTTTACGAGGAGATAGTTCGACGCTATAAGAGTGTGAAGTTATGGCAATCTTTCCAAGTAAGCAGTTTAATGGTTTTTTTTATAAAATTGTGGATGAAGGATGCGTTCTCTTGGATGCCTTTGTGTGGTTTGATTGCTGGAAGAGTGTTTTGTATGCATGGAGGACTCTCTCCTGATTTGAAAAGTTTTGAAGATGTCCGTAAGTTAGAGAGACCGATTGTGCCTGTCAATCCATCCATGGTTATCGATTTACTCTGGTCAGACCCTGATGCTAATGTGCAAGTAAGCTAAATAGTAAATGGCTCAACAATCTCTAACTTAAGGGTTGGGAGTCTAATACAAGAGGTGTCTCGTATGTCTTCGGAGAAGATGTTGTCCAGGAAATGTGTAAGAGTTTAAATATTGATTTGATAGTTAGAGCTCATCAGGTACGTAACCCTCATATCCTATTTCAACTATTTTTGTTAAGGTTGTACAAGATGGGTATGAGTTTTTCGCCAATCGCAAGCTGGTCACTGTTTTCTCAGCACCTAACTACTGCGGCCAGTTCGACAATCATGCAGCTTCAATGAAGGTTAGTGCTCATGACTATAGTATGAAGATGTATGAAATGGTCAGATTGACAAAGATCTTCTGTGTTCGTTCCATGTCTATGAACCCATAAATGGAAGTATGCGCATATCGAATGAAACGAAATCTTGTGAGAAGAAATGAAGCTTTCCGGAATATCGTCGAAGACATATTTCTGTAATAATTTATTTACTTTTAAGCGTGAAATTTCAAGTTCTTCTTCTAAAATGTTTGAATTAAGCGGATATGACAGTTTCTTTCGTCAACATTCTTTTCAAAAAAAGAAAAGAACTTTTGAAAAAGCTTAATCGCGAAACTTTTGCAGAAAACCTTTCTTTGTGAATCTTTCTGTTGGTGCGAGATAGAGTCTTTCAATTAGAAGCTTACTTCTACTTCTTTCTCTTAACTATATTGGGAGAGTACTTGACATTCTGATTCTAGAGAAATAGCTTTACTGTTTGCGAGACATATCACTGGATATCTGTGGATGAAGAAGTTTACTTAACAGCTCTCAATTGACGAGAGAGACCGTAGCAGAGAGGATACGTAGTTGCACAAGCTCCCTTTTCCCATTCGACATCGAGATTGTCCGTAAAGGTGAGCACAGGTCATCTTTCCTTATCTTATTGAAGCTTTCATATACTGCCCTTATTTCCCTTTATTTACTTTATTATATCCAAAATCCTACTTCCTTTCTTCCTTCTTCAGAAGCTCATTCGGATATTCAAGCCTGTTAATCCTATGAACAAACGTTCAACATTTTCGCCTTACAGACGGCAAGTCCGAACAAAAGGACACAAAAATAGAGAAAATATAGAGATGAGAGAGAGAATCCCAGGCTCTTATTGACAGTTTATTCTGACTTTTTCATTATTTTGAAGATTTCGCATCCAGTTGAAAGATTTACAACGTGACATTTTTGGTTACGGGAAAGCTAGCGCACCCAATATGGTCCGCTTCTGTCAGAGCACAAGCGCTATGACAGAGCATGCAGCTTAAACTGTGTAAATGAATTGAATGAGGAGCCATATAGATATATATGACCGTCTGTCATTAAAGAGAAATAGATGAATCATTCATAATTCTTTGGCGACTGTGGTTCATTCGCAATACATTACAGTACTTGTTATTGCCATGAGCAAGAATGACATGAGTGCGAATGAGACAGGGTCACTCAGGTAAACTTTTATGCCTCACACTCATTAGAAATGCTCCTCCTGGCAGTAAATGGCTCTGTTCATTCTTTTGTAAACGACTCTCCCTTAACAAGTGTAATAACAAACGCTTCATGTTTCTATATTCCTTTCACCTTGAACATGATGGGTTCATTTACATATGACGTGGTATTATGCGTTTGAAATAAACATCAAATTAGCATAACACGGAAGTTCACGTGAACCATTCTATTCCCGTCATCATGAGAATCATTTTAGTTAAGCAAACTCTTATGAGCGGTTGGATGAAAAATCAAGTATGATGTAGAGGGCGTCCTGAGAAAAACATATAGTCCGAATGACCATAAATAGAGTATAAAAATCAAGATGTAATCATGGATATGTTCCAATGGTTATCTAAATCTTTGATAAGACCGCCTTATGTCTATGAAAGGTTGGAAAAAGGCTAAAGGAATGCCTCTGTTCGCTACTGCATAAGGTTTATGACCATCGTATCAGCTCTACTAAGAGGAAGAGCGATGGAATTACAAGTTGTAATAAACTTGTCACCTATTCAGCTTCTGGCATTTTTGATATTGCGCTTGTTTTGTATTAAAATCGTAAATGAGAGGACGAGAGAGAGACTAGTGTGTGATAGAGTGTGAGAGTGGAGAGTGTTAGAGAGCATCAAAACCTCTTTCCGCTTCTCAAAGACTCAGCATGATGTCCATCTTCACGCAAATTGTTCAAAAGGTACTTATTAATAGAGTAATGTTTTCTTTTCATAGGTTAATCTACTATAATTAGAATAAGAATGAATTCAAGGTATTATGACATCAAAACCCAATCTCTGTAACTATGTCCACCTGTATTATATTCTTTCCAGTCTTCTCTCCTTGTGCCAAATCAAACAGTCACCGTCCCAAGTGTTAGAATAGTTTCGGGCTGATTCCCATTTAAGCGGTTGAAGTTAACTAACAACTAGAGGCTACATTCCCAACCAGCCATTAACTCCTTTGGCTATTTTCTGTTTAACTGTGAGCAAGTGAATAGAAGGTCAGCATCCGAACTCTGAATGAGTGACAGGTCAACCGTCAAGCTGACAGCTTAAAAAAGAAAAGTAAAGTCTGATCAAACATAAGAAGTTTCATAACAAAATCCTCCAATCTATTGCATTTCCACTCGAAACCTCAGTTTGAATGAAAAAGAGACCATCGGAGAAGAAAAAGAAAAAAGAGTAGAAGAAAGGATGCACTTGCGAGCATAAATTCCACCTTTTCTCTCAGTTGTCCAGAAAAAAATGAAAAAAAAAAGAAAAATCTCGTAAGATTTACCCTTTTTCTTCTCAAAAGTTTGTGGAAAACAACATTTTTATTGAAACAGCAGTAGATGAGTCGACTGTTCACAGATAATCATCGGCTTCATTTGATGATAGTAATCCTTTAATAGAGCTTAAAGTACCGGAAGGGAGAAAGAGATGATCAAAGACGGATTTTGCCACATCTTCCTTTGATTTGCATATAAGATGAACATCTTATCAGAAATACTTCGATTCTTCCTTTTCACACACTTCGTTATTGTTTTTTATCAATCATTATCATGCATATGACATAACCCTATATCTTTCTCACTCTCTCTCATCTTAACTATAGCATATAAGTATTCTCTCTTGTTTTAGTACCTCAAGCCGCCAATACTATATGGGCGGAGCGATTGAACAGTCAAGGGGTGGGGTCAACCAAATGGATGGAATGAATAGAAGAGCAGTCAGATCAAGAAATATTTTACCAAATATAGTTATCATGTTAACTATATTTTTATTAATTATTCCACTAGTCTTATCTGATTGTGATAGTTTACGTTCTTCACACTACATCTCCACGGATGACGTCAGTTCCCGAAAAGGTTTGTCAAGTTTTCTTTCAAGTTTCATTTGTATTGTTTATTCTTTTGTTTTTTTTATTCTATTTTTTAATTATTTTTTGTTTTTGAACTGCTTCTCTACCATTTTCTCTTTCTCCTCAACCCCGTCTGATGTTCTTCAAGACAACCTCCAATCACAAAGAACATTGTCTTTCCCAAACAAAAAAAACCTGACCATAAAAGATTACGTGCCGACGTTAAAGATTAAAAAAATCATAAAATATCCTCCTCTTTGTCTTTTACTCATTCCTCAACATTCTAGAAACTTTACAAATCTGTACAAATAAGGATAATGCTTGTTGCACACGTGAAATTGAAGAGAAGATGTATGCGAATGCCGAGATGTAAGTGATCACACAGAGGACACTCGAGTTACGTATGCCATTTCAGAAAGTTCCAATCGGAATTACAAGACAAAGTGCTCATACTGAGACAGTTGGTTCTCTCCAATATGAATAACTTGAAGAGTAAGTTCCTTTCCAACAGTGTTTTCTATGATTTTTTGTGTTTAAGCTTACTTCTATAACTCTCTTAACACTTGTCATACACAACTTGATTTGATGTTCAAAAGAACTTATGGACCTTTCTATGAAACCAATTCAATTGTAAGTTTCTGTTCACCTCCTTATCGTGTTATTCATTATTACGTTTTTAAGGTTTTCGAAATTTTCTTCAATCGTCTTCGTGCTTTCTCTTCTCCTTACTCTGACTTCTCTGTTGAGCAAATCACAAACGAGATGTTTCATCAGCTTTTCCGTATTGTCTTCTCTCTTCTGAACCCCTTGGTTAGTTAAAATAGAATTGCTATCTTCAATCAGTTTGTTACTTCTAGACTCATGTAAGTGATGAACAGGCTATGTGTATGGCCCATAACATGGAGGATATTGCGCCCTTTGGCGATATGCCTACTAAGGTATGTTTCAATAGTTACTCTTAGTTTTATTATAACCTAAAGATATAATTTATATTGTACTATTCAGGTTATTAACCATTTGAAGAAAGTTCTTACGTCTTGGAGACAATTCGTTTCTTCATTGGAATCGGCCAATGAAGTTTTACGAGGATTTATGAACGTCAGTTTGTTTTCATTTTCATGCAAATGTCTTTTGTGACACACCATACATGGTCTTTTGAATCTTTTTCTTCCTCTTCTCATCCAAAACATTTACTTTTACCGCTTCTTTCCATTTCTCATTTCAAAAAGCGTACCGAAATGAGCTTCTTCCGCCAGTAATTACCTCGCATCGTCTCTTTCTTTTCGGAAGTTTGAAAGTGAATAAAGACGATTTCGTTCGGCTGACCACCTGTAGTCAAGCAATTACCGTTAATCCGGAGGGTTGTTGAGATGAGAATCTTCATGGTTCGAATGATCCAGCTGTGATTGCGTTTTACCATACTGAGAGGATTAGTAGTATACTTGCAGTTTGAATGAAACAAATCCTCTCAAGAGTGATCGAGAAGGGAAGTTGAGGAGAGAAGAGTGGGAATGTTGTTTCTTCTTCTGACTAGTTGACATACAAACAAAGTCATCTGACAATTGTGTTTTCCGGTTAATTAGTAGGTTCCGGATGAAAAAAACGACAAAAAATGCAATTTGTTGACATATTGTCCTTGAAGAAGAAAAAAAAAGTTGAAAGACGACTGTCTGTGTTGCCATGTCCATGTGAACGACCTTTTGAAACAAAAGACCAATTGCTCATATCATATAATTAATATGATAGCTATATATAATTAATTTATGTTACAGGTCACTTTATCAAAGGAATGTATCCAGAATTTGGCACGCATGGGCGATTGTTCCATGTGCTCACGACAGTCACAGCCTGTCAAACCCTGCGGCAATTTCTGTCAGAATGTCTTGAAAGGCTGCTTAGCCGAATGGTCGGAAATTGATCAGCAATGGAATCATGTTGTCGGTAAGTCCTCATCTTTCCTACCTTTTTGTCTTCTTTTTTTTCTCAACGAATTTACGACACTTTCAATGATTTTCATCCGAATTCTATCGTCCATCACGACTATTGTTACCTGAAAGATGTTTGAAGTTGCCGACGGCACACTTTTTGAATAGACGCTTCCCATATTAGGAAAGTAAAAATCTCATTTGGGACTTTCTAATCAACTATACACCCATCTATCTTGAATATTTAATATTATTTTATGCATTTGATGTGGTTTACGACAGGCCAAGGCCAATAGACTTATGATTGTCGTGTAAATTAACCTCTTATTGAATATTCACAGTAGGATTTTGTTGTTCACAGTTGATAATCCATGTCAAGATTACCTTATCGACAGCTCGAATCTGTCTAAATCTGGCTGGAGAGGGATTTGTGTGTGTTTAAAGAAGGAGAAGACTCATACCCACACACAGAGAGAGAGAGTTGAAGTGTTCAAGTTTATTTGTAAGATAAACATGTCTCATAAAAACAATTTTTGTCCAAC